TTTCATTAGAAGCATCAATTGAGCTATCAGCTATTAAGTGAATATACATTTTATATATTTTTTTAAATTGATTTCAGAGAGAAAGGGAGAGATAGAAACATCGATGATGAGAAGGAATCATTTATTGGCTAACTCCTGCATGCCCCCTACTGGGGATTGAGCTCAAAACCCGGGCATGTGCCCCTGACCAGAATCAAACCCTGGACTCTTCAGTCCACAGGCTGATGCTCTATTCACTGAGCCAAACCTGCTAGGGCTGAATATACATTTTTTGAGGACACCTTGTAGACTGTGGCCCAGTCATAATAATGGAACATCATACAGCCATTTGAAAAGGAGGAGGGGCCCTAACCGGTTTGGCTCAGTGGGTAAAGTGTCAGCCTGCAGACTGAAGGGTCCCAAGTTTGATTCCGGACGAGGGCATGTACCTTGGTTGCAGGCACATCCCCAGTGGGGAGTGTGCAGGAGGCAGCTGGTCGATGTTTCTCTCTCATCGATGTTTCTAGCTCTCTATCCCTCTCACTTCCTCTCTGTAAAGAAAAAAAAGAAAGAAAGAAAAGGGGTGGGGTGGGGAGGAAAATATGAATCTGAATGTGTGGATATAGAACAACTGCCAGAAAAAGTGCACAAAGGCAGGTGTAGGACAATGAGTCTAGTTTAAATATATGTATACTAGAGGGCCGGAGCATGAAATTCGTGCATGGGTGGGGTCCCTCCGCCTGGCTGGTGATTGGTGCTGATCAGGGCTATCTCGCCCAGTTCCAATTGGGGCTGACTGGAGCTGGTGGCTGGGGAGGGACCATGGGAGGGCTCTGTGGGAGGGCTCCAGAGTGTGTCTGGCCCTGCCTTGCCCAGTTCCAATCAGCCGGACCCCAGGAGCAAGCTAACCTACTGGTTGGAGCATCTGCCCCCTGGTGGTCAGTGAACATCATAGCGACCAGCTGGTCCACAGCTTGGTCAGACACTTAGCATATCAGGGTTTTATATATATAGATACACACACACACACACACACACACACATACACACACACACTTGTGCCTATCCATGGAAATTTCTTGAAGACCATCAAGAACACTGGTAATGGCTACCTCCATCTGGAGTAGGGAGCACTAAGGTGGAGATTCACTTTTCATGATGTAAACGTCCACACTGTTTAAAAAATGTGTGTGTGTGTGTGTAATGTAATATACTTGTATCATTTTTATAAGTTCTATTAACTTTCTAGGCAATGTTCTAAGGGTATTTTTCCTAAGTGGCTTGAAGCTAGAGAAATTAGAAGTCCTATTCTTGTCCCTATACTTAGAAAACAGACAATCTGATTATGCCTAGAGTTGTCAAAATGTGGAGGCAATGTGTGAAGAAACTAAATATGCTCATCTTTCCAAGGGAGATCTACTGAGAAGAACATACATAACTGCAGCCAGAGAACTGGGTCGGCCTCCCACCAGGCCGGCCCAAATAAAGCAGCGAGAAACAAGCTGTTCAGTCTCCTCTGCCTGGAGGCCCAAGGGGCTCTGCACTTGAAAAGATCCGAAGCCCTAAGCACCACATCATCCCCAAGTACCCTGCACCGAGTTGGGCCCAAAGCGTCCCCAGGAGCCTCGGGGCCCAGGCCAGTACGCCAGAGCTTCAAGGAACCAAAGCAGGTAAGCCCGGACGCAGAGGCCTGCCTCGAACAGGGAGGCCATGCAAACATCTCCTGGCCTCCTGTGCTGTGTCCCTCTGCCTGAGGATACTACGTGCATCGCTTTAATAGTCGTACCACTTTTTACAGACAACATTAGCTTCACTTTCCAAACTCCCATTTGCTTCCCCATATTTCAGGCTCTCATGAAAGGATGTTTCCTTCTAAATTCATGAGAAGGGAAGGCAAAATCTTCTGGGCATTCCGTCCTAGACATCTCGACCTGAAAGATGTTCAGAGACTTCCCCAGACCAAGGGAAAGACCTAGGTGGGCAAGGTAGCCTCTCGAATGTGACTTGGCGCCCGGGGTAGGGAGGCCTAACCGTCAGTGTAGGCCCCCCGAGAGGGAACATCACTGGCCCTGAGATCCTCGGGAGCCAATGGACTCATAGAGGAATAGGAGATGGGCACGGGGCTTGATGGGGAGATGGCAGGAAAGGCTGTGGGGCTGGGCATCAGTGAAGATGGCAGACAACCGACAAAGGGTGCGTCCCAGGCCCCAGCTGAGGACGGCCTGGCTTAGGGAGCCCGTTACTTCCCCTCCAAGCATGCTGCCCCGAAGAGCTTAAAAGGGAAGCATTTTCTTGGTTAAGTTCAAAATCACTGTTCAACACACTTCCTCATAATTTCTGGTACCGATGAAGAATGTGTGTTCGTGAGGTCCCTTATCACTGCCATGCATACTAAGCAGGCCAGCTCTGTCTATTCAGAGTTTTCACTTCATTAGCAAGAGGGGTGTGTGTGTGTGTGTGTCCTTCCCCTCACTCTTCCTGAACTTTGCCCCATTTTGTGGATGACCGAACCTATACCAGTGACACAGGGCAAGAAAGAAAGCCCATTTATAAACCATCCTGGTACATGCCGCTCTTCTTTTTGAACCGGCAGCTAAAATGATATCTGTGGATCTGATTAGGTCTGCTTTGCCCCGTGACCACACATAAACCCAAACTGGTTGCATTTCTGGGAAGTAAAGTTTGTTCTCCGCCTTCTCTCTAAGGCACCTCAATCCTCTGTGACCAGCAGGCTCCTTGGTGACTAGTCAGGAGTGGGGCCCAGGCCTGACACTATCAAGTGCGGAGAATTCCCAGTCCCCTCTCCACTAATTCTGCCTCCCACACATGGATGTGCTGAGCTCTAAGGTAGTTTCCCTGTCATCATGGCCTTTCTCACGGGGTTTATTTTGTAATAGTTCATGGTCTCAATGATGTTTTCTCCAGGTTGTCCATAATGTTCTCGAAATCGGAAACTCCAAACTGGAATGCAGAGTCCAGTACAGACTCACGCAGCCTGGGGCAGGACCACCTCCCTCCTACTTCCTACGGGGTCTTCTTTCCTCTGTAGATACCACCGTCCCAGCTGCTGTCCGAGCACAGGCTGACCTCGCAGCCTGCAGAGCAGCTGCTGACTCATGCTTACTCTGGGGTCTCCTAGAACCCCGGCTCTTCTTCCCTTCAGCCAGGACAGCCCCACCCGTCCGGTCCCATTGAGAACTCTGCCCATCACCTGCGGGGGAGTAGGGGGAAGTGGGGGGGGGCAGCTCTGATGAGAAGTCTCCCACTAGTCCACCTTCACCTGGCCCGCCCCCGCCCGGGCCCACCTGGAAGACGTCGTTGGCGCACTTGCGGCACAGGTTGTGCTGGCAGGGCAGGATCACCACCGGCTTGGAGAACATCTCCAGGCAGATGGGGCAGATGAGCTGCTTCTCCAGGTTGTCCATGCTGTGTGCATCCCCTAGCAGCGGCTTGAAACCCACTGCGAAGTTCATCCCCTCAGTGATGGTGCCGACCTCGGCCTTGGCCCGGACCTGGCCTTGCCTCACTGCCTCTGGACCCCTCCTCCCTCCCTCAGTCTGCGGATTCTTCTGCTGCCTCTGAGGCTCACTGGAACTAGCTCTGCTCTCTCCCCTGTCCCTTCCTCTGACAGTATGCCGCGTCCTTAGCTGTTTTCAGACACGTCTCCTCTCTCCTCTTTGCCCTGTGCCGCAGCCACGCGCAGGCAGCTTTCTCTAGCCCTCACTCCCTGAGCAATTGCCCCTGGAAATTTCTCCTTTCCTTCCCCAAAGGACTCCTGTTCACTCTACAGGCAGCACTGTTTGTCCCTCACTCCCCAGAGAGCAGATTAACTTTAAGGTGGGGGTGGGGAACAAGGGGCCTCTGTGTGACATTCCAGCTCCCAATTTAGCTCCTGTAAGGCGAGCCACAGCTGTCACCGAACGAACGAGTGACCCTGACTCACTCAGGAATGGGTGACTCTTGGGCAAGAGCAGGGGTGAGCGTCACCGCTTATGGGGAAGGTGGGCCGGCAAAGGTACCGAGCGCGCACTTGCTGTCACTCAGAAGCCCCCGTGAGCCCCTGGGCCCCACTCAGCTCTGGCTTGGGCCCTGCTTCCAGGGCAGTGCCGGGCATGACAGTGTAAGTCGGCCTGCTGGAGAGGGACCCCCCATGGCTCAGGGAGGGAGGGCTGATCTTGGTAGGCCTACTGACAGCCAGTGAGAATGTCTGCCTCCCAGGCTTAGCCAGCAACCCTGGCCTGCTTCCTCTGAGCCCCACGATTCAGAACAGAGCACCTGAGACCAGAGAGGCTCTGGTCCAACACTTCTGGTCCACGTTGTGGTTGTTTTCTAATCCTTGCCCGAGGATCTTTTTCCTCCATTGATTTTTAGAGAGAGTGGAAGGGAAGGAGGGAGACACAGAGAGAGAAACATTGATGTGAGAGAGACCCATCGACTGGTTGCCTCGCGCACACACGCCCTGACCGGGGCCAGGGATGGAGCCTGCAACTGAGGTGCTTGTGCCTGACCAGAATCAGACCCGGGATCCTTCAGACCATGGGCCGATGCGCTAACCACTGAGCAGTCGGCCAGGGCTGGTCCACTTTTGTTTTTGCCCAAAGCTTTCTTACATCGCCCCAGGAAAAGCAGCTCTGGAGGCTAGAGCTGGCAGTGGTGCCAGGGCCTAGAGCGACCTCATGAGCTTGCCCCCAAGAAAGGATGGCGTTCTGACCCATGAACACATCCCTGGAGCCACTCCAAGGACTTGATATTTGTTGGGAAATTGAGAGAAGCTGAGCTGGGCAGAAAGGACCCGAATGCCAGGGACCTATTTTGAGCACCAGGGGAATCGGCCTCCAGGGAAACTTTAGAGCTGACAAAGTCATGGTCACACGGCCCCAGGAGGCCTCGGCCCCAGCACCACAGAGTCCTGGGCGCCCCTCTCCAAGGCGACTGCTCTCAGCCGTGAGCACCGGTCCTCACAGGCCTCTCTCTCCACCCTAGGCACAGCTGGTCTTTTGGGCCCCACATATGCACTGGAATTGGACAAAAGCTCTTTTATTCACTGACATTCTTCAGCCCTTCTTCCAGTCAGGACAGACAAGTATGAGGACGTACAAAACTCTGACCCTGGTGGACGGGAAATAAATGCTGGGGAGAGGATACCAAACAGGTTGTGTGAAGAGGCCCGAGTGGGAAAAGGGTCTGTAAACGTACAATCATTTCCCTATTGTGAGTTTCATGCCTGTTTTGAAAACAGCCTGCATCAGAGGTGGTGAAAGAACGGAAGCAGGCACCGATTGAGAACGTCAGGCAACCCCAGGGCCCATGCTGATGGGGTGATGCTGGCAGCTGCAGCCCAGGGACAACCCACAAGCGGGAGAACTACCCCTGAGCCTCAAACGCATTCGTCCTGTTCCCCGGCTGACGCGTGGTGGCATGGAATGAGGTTGGTGATGCTAGGGGTATGGACACCAGAAGAAGGTGGGGCCGGTCCCACCCAGAAAGGAGTGTGGGCTTAGGAATGAGTCTGATGCTAAGAGTCCTTGGTGCAGAGTTGCAACGAAGGAGGATTAATGGTACCACAGCTCTGGGACTGGATCCACTCTGCTCCGCTTTCTGGATTGGGTGGAGATATCACAAGTGACTCAGGGACCCTACCCAGCCGACATGCGCTCAAATCCCAAAGGAGGCGCGGGGAAAAGGATGCTGGGGAGAAGTCTATCACCACCGCCTGGGATCTCTCAAGGGTAGGGCTGGGGGTGTGTGTGTCTGCTCTCTAACATTAAAATTGGGACCGGAGCTAAAAAAGAAGAGTCGCTGGGCGACCCTGTATGGCCAGGGTCAGTGACGCCGTCAGGGGCAGAAACTGCATCCTCACTGGGATGGATGCCCTCAGTGCTTCTCGAGTTGGGATTCTTACAAGAAGAGGGGCAATTCAGGGTCAATGTCAGGACAGGGCTACTTGCTCCTCTCTTCGATGTGTCCAGTGGACCGGGCAGCGGACGTCACCTTCATTGGGTCAGCACCTAAGGAGAGAAGTTGACGTCTTATTAACTAGAAGGAATGAGCACCCGGATTGTAAAGCAAGCCCCCTATAGGTCAAACTATAAACACTTATAGCTCATCCTTTAGGGCTATAAACTTTGCATTAAAGACACATCTAAAATTAGTGTATATTCTTTTATTTTTTTAAAATCTATTTTTATTGATTTCTGAGAGGGAGAGAGAGAGAGAGATAGAAACATCAATGATGAGAGAGAATCATTGATCGGCTGCCTCCTACACCCCTCCCCCTCGCCACTGGGAATCGAGCCCGCAACCCAGGCATGTGCCTTGACCAGGAATCGAACCGTGACCTCCTGTTCATAGGCTGATGCTCAACCACTGAGCCACACCAGCCGGGCTGTATATTCTTTCCTTATCCTTTAGTTATCGCTGCATTTCAGTTTTCATACCCTACTCTTCTTCGTCTTTTAATTATCTTCACTATCATTT